ATCGCCACTGGAGAAAAAGCTCCATGTTAACATGTAGCACCAAGTCCTGGGGCAGAGCAAAGTGCATTTCTCTGGATAATCTTCACGGTTGGGGGGCAGGAGCAATGCCATGCTGCCAGCATACAATGTGGAAAGGATGAGCCACCCATCTCTCTGCCTTGTTTCCAAGTTTTGGATCTCTTTAATCCATTGATATTTTTAGGGAGAATAGAAGAGAGAGGGAAAGATAGAAGCATCGATGTGAGAGAAACACGTTGACTGGTTGCCTCCTGCACAAACCCTGCCCAGGGCCAGGGCTGGGGAGGAGCTTGCGACTGAGGTGTCTGCCCTTGATTGACCCTTTGGTCTGCAGGCCGATGCTCTAGCCACTGAGCCAAACCGGCTAGGGCTGGATAATTTTTAACAATGGTAAGTAATTATTTCACCTTATAAACAACCTTTCAACCTTAATGACGCTTACAAAAGCATTGCCGAGCCAAAAAGGGCAAGAAGGAAACCCATTCATCCCAGGTGAAAACTGAGTGACAGGGAGAGAAGCTGAGCTGGGAGGAGAACCTCCACGGCCAAGTCCAGGTCCGTGCTCACCCCTAAAGTCCACATGGCATTTCCCCTTTTGGGCTCCTCTTCATCTGCGGCCCTATGTTGTTCTTGGTGGCATTTTCCCATCTGAGATTTCCCTTGGGGTTAGTCTGAGGCCAAAGCTCGAAGGCAGGAGGAGTCCCTGTTGCCTGCCTCTTCATTCCGAGGGGTCCTGTTCAGCCCCTCACACAATTAGGCTCCACAACATCAGATGAACCAGATCCTAGGATCCGGAGCCAAAGAAAATTGTCAAAACATGTTATCCTATCCTAAAAAAAAAAAAAAAAAAAAAAGGACAGAATCGATGCTACATTCCAAGAACCGCTCCCCCCCCCCCTTTTTTTTTAAGTGACAAGTCCTTTTAAGCTCTTCTCCTCTTCGCTACTGTGGGCCACTGTGCCATCTGTCATCAGAGATGCAGTCCCCATCAGACGAGCCCACAGTTTATAAACTGGAATATCTCACTTGAACACGATTTCAGGTCCGAATTACACCCTCCGCCACCCCCTCTGCCATAAGCAGGATCGCATTTGTGTGGAGATAGCTGGGCTGGCTGGCTCCAGGCTGATAGCACACAGTGCACAAGTGGCTATTCAATGTGCTAAGCAGTCTGCCAGGAAACCAGCTGCCAGTGTGGCCTGATGCCCCAAATCTATGTCTTCCTCACAGTGAGCACCATTTATTTTCCTCTCCCAGGAACTGCTGTCGCCATGGAAACTGTCCCACCAGCAGGATGGAGACAGGGTCCAACTTTCGGCTCCCTACACATAGTTAGAGAGGCAACACATATATGTGAAACAAGGTCAAGAGTAAGAAAGACTGTGTGTGGGTGTGCAGTTAGGCAAGCAGGTCCTCTGAAGTCCCCTAGAGTTCTGCAGCTAGGAGGGAAAGCTTTTTTGAGAACATCTGGGTCTCTCAGACTGTTTACCCAGGATATAATGACAAGGACAAACAGTGGGTACAGAGGAAGTGCAGGCTGCGCCCCTCCCTGCAGCACCCATTCTCCCTCACAGTAACTGTGTGGGGCAGGTGGTTCTTATCGTCCTCATGATACAAATGAAGAAACAGAGTCCCCAAGACCCATCACCTGCCCACATTCAGCGGAAGAAAGGCCCAAAATGGGGAGGAACACCCTGACGGTCCAACCCCAAAGCCTGGACCTCTAACACACAGGCCCCTGCTACCCCCCTCCCGCCTCTCCTCTCACTTCCCATCGGGCCAGGCTCCAAAGGCTCCAGCACCAGTGCCATCCACTGTCTCCCATTTTCGTTTGAGCATGTGATCCTCCCTGAGCCTGGCCCCGGACCCCTATATCGCACCCCACAGAACAAGGGCTCTGCAGAGCAAGATGTGGGCAACCCCGATTCCGGCCAGGTTTCTCCTTTTACAGAGAAGCAGTTTAGGAGGGGCGAGGAAATGTGTTGCCTCCAGCTGCACAGCTAATAAATGTCAGAGTTGGCACCTCAGGGCCAGTCCCCCTCCTCCCCTCAACCCCACCCCCACCCTCCCCAGTCCTCCCCTTGCTGTGTTGCCTCACATCACTGTTTCTAATCCAAACCCTGAGCCAGCAGCTCAACTCCCTGGCCAAGCACCAGGGCTAATCCCCTTGCAGGCTGCCTATTAAACCAGCCACTCATTAGGAGAGCCTCAGAGCTCAGGCAGGCAGGGTGCACAGCCTCTCAGGAAGTCCTTCCACACAGCCCTCCTGCTCCGGGCCTTGCTGCCTCTGGTGCATTTAAAACCCAATAACGAAGCCCTGTTCATAAAGTGTGCGCCTCCCAGAGTCACTGGGGAACTACTGCGGAGCGTAAAAAGGTTGCTGTGCTCCAGCCAGCGGGACCCAAGGTGTCCAGGACAAGAGACGGATGTCTGCACGGTTTCCCACGTCAGTGGCTTTAGGGAGCAGAGAGCTGCCTGTGAATGAAAGCTCCCAGCTCAAGACGAGCGGGGAGCGGTGCACATTGTCTTGTTTTTCCGTTTTAACACGAATCTTAGCACAACTATGAACATGCTTCCCTCACACACTGCAACATGGCTCTAGCTCTAGCTCGCCAGAGCTGTGAATGTTTTTTAGAGCCAAGAGCATGGACTCAACCCGAAGAGCATGCTCAGACGGCGGCCCCCTGCCCGACGAGCTCATGGGTACCTCTTTGCCCTGGCACATTTTCTTCCTTCTGGCAGAAATCCCTTTCCCCTTTCCTGCCAGCTCACCTTGCACTTCCCTCCTCCAATGTCACTGCCTCTAAGAAGCCTCCCAGGATTTCCCATACAGGTATATGGAAACCTTATTCTGTGCTCCTAAAGTATTTGTGAAAATAACAGTCGCTACCATTTTTAGTGCCTAATACAGTCAGACTCTTCATGTACATTATCTCTGTACCCGTTTGGCAGGCTCAACTGGTTCGAGGTCAATGTGGCTGTTAGGTCATGAAGCTGGGTTTGGAATTCAGATCTCTCAGGCTCCAGTATCCATGCCTTTCTCCTACACAACTGGCAGCTTTCTTGCCTCAAATTTACCCCTTCCCAGAGCAGGTGATAAATATGTGTTTCCTACTCCATTTGCCTATAGACTAACTGGGCATGCCTGAGTCTTACAATGTATCCCTGTGCCTGGCACAAGGAGATGCTAAATAAATGGTTAGTGGAGCCCTAGCTGGTTTGGCTCAGTGTATAGAGCGTCGACCTGGGGACTGAAGGGTCCCGAGTTCAATTCTGGTCAGGGCTCATGCCCGGGTTGTGGGCTTGATCCCCAGTAGGAGGTGTGTAGGAGGCAGTCAATCAATGATTTTTTCTCATCCTTGATGTTTCTATCTCTCCCGCTCTCTTCCTCTCTGAAATCAATAAAAATATATTTTTTAAAATAAAAATAAAAAATAAATGGCTAAGTGGATCAATAGCTTGTTGAATGGTGACCTTATCTCTTTATCTAATTAGCTTATGGAACCTTGTTTTTGATAAAATCATAGCAATGCACCAAATCATACTCCGCACACCACTCCCAATGTAGAATCAGGTAAGTTTCTCAGCCAGCAGATCCATATACTAACCCACTGCTTCTCCAGTTCTAATGTAATACAAGTCTCCTAATTTAAAAAATATATATATATTGTTATTGTCTTTTTAGAGAGAGAGGAAGGGAGAGGGACAGAGAGACAGAAATATGACTGAGAGAGAAACATCTCAATAGGCTGCCTCCTGCACACCCCCACAGGGGAATGAGCCCACAACCAAGTACATGCCCTGACTGGGAATCAAACCAATGGCCCAATGCTATAGTCAGCAAACTGTGGCTCACAAGCCACATGCGGCTCTTTGGCCCCTTGAGTATGGGTGAGTCTATTTTGAAGAAGTGGTGTTAGAAGAAGTTCAAAAATTAGGCTCTCAAAAGAAATTTCAATCATTGTCCTGTTGATATTTGGCTCTGTTGACTAATGAGTTTGCCAACCACTGGCCTATTGCAAGCATGTCAAACTCAAAGGCTAACACGGGCCAAATAAACAAGGGTTAAGTTTATGCAGGCCCCCCAAAAAAACAAAAACTCCCACTTTCATAGAAACGTAGGTATATTTTGATGGAGACATGCTGAATACAAAGGGCTGAAATTAATAAGTAATCGTTAATCAGTATACGATGTGGGCAGCATGTGGCCTGTGGGCCGCAAGTTTGACATGCTTGGCCTATTGGTTCCTGGCTCAGCGCTCAACCGTTGAGCTACCCTGGCCTGAATTCTGTTAAATGGAAGGTTCTGATATAAAAGGGCTAGGTGGGGCTTGAGGGCCTGCATTTCTGGCAAACTTCCCGTGACACTGCTGATTTCAAGACCTCATTTGAGAGCCATTTGGGTCTAAAGGCAGTAGCAGCAGCAGCCATTGAACGTCCGTTACTTTTGGCTGGTAACAAAAAATACAACCTCACTCGTGGGCCGTGCTCCTTCCAAAGCAGGACAGGGCTGCGAATGCTCCTGGCTTTCCATGTTTTAGCCAAATGTTTAAGTTGTGCTCTGGGCTGCAAACATTTGGCAGCATGAACATTGGTTTGCACTTTGGTTTAGTCACCCCCTATCAATAAATTACAAGAGGGGACGTGTGCTGGAAGATTCCATTCCAGTGACAGTGGATGGGGAACTGGAGGAGGAGAAAGTGGCAGATGGTCCCTCCCAGCGGCCTTGGCAACTAGTGACAACTGCAGGCTGGGAGGCAGCCCCACTGCAGTGATGGGAAGTGCCCACCCTTGCACACCGCCCACCCTGAGGCCACGTTCCCAGCGGGTCTCCCGGTAAACAGTCAGCAATGGCTGGTGCATCTGCAGCCCTGAGCGCCCAACACCATCCCTTTGCCGGCATGCCAAGGGTTTCAGAGGTCAGGCATCCCGGGTCCCAGACGTGTGGAAGGAAAACACCCTCTTTTCTGCTTCTTTTCCAGATGTCCCTGGGCCAGCAGCAGTCAGCGCGAGGCGTGTCTTGTTTGCGATGCAAGGGGGCGTGTTCAGGCTTCGAGCCACATCCGTGGAGGTAAGGGAGTTCATCCGGAGGCTCTGGCCCTCCTCTCAGGGGCGCTGGTGATGCTCTGCAGGGGCTGCTTGAGATGCACGCTGTGGGGCGGAGTGGCCCCGGGACCACTGCGTTCCCTCTGGGCCTAACTCAGAAATGCCAGAGAGCCCTGAGGGATCCAGGGTGAAGCAGGAGTCTAGTTCTCCCTTAACTCTGTCATGGTGGAGGCCCAGCCAAGCAAGCACTGCCCCCGGAAAGTGTGGGCAGTTGTTAGCTGGTGCTTGGTCCACCCTGGGTAGAGCTCTGGCCTGGGGTTTGGTGCCTGGGACCACACCATCATCCCCGTTGGTGATCTCAGTGCCCCTTGGACAGAAGTCAGGGTGTCCACACTCCTAAAACCAAAACCTGGGATTCACACCCAGGATGGAGGACCCCAAGAGCCAGATTAGCTTCCAAGCTTGTGCCTTTCCGCAGTCAAAGGTTCTCTATGATGGATGCAGAAATGGCCACTTGAACACCACGGAGGGCCTCTGTATCTGTGTCCTCCACAATCCGGCTTCCTGGAGAGAGTGGGCGGACTTCTACAAAGCCCCAGCCATAGACCTAGCAACATGAAAAGCACGAATAAAGGAGAAATAGTGTGGGAACCACCTCAAAGAACATCTCATTCGTTAGCACTTTTCATTTCAAAGTTTGCGTTCCTAACATCGCTCCTGGCACCTGAAAGTTGACGCTAACCAGGAAAACAGATGGCCGCTTCTGCCAGGTTTATGCACAGTGGGTGTTTTTATATACTGCAGGTACTGGGGGAGGGCAGAGGACCCGTGGGAGACCAGGATTTCCCCCTCCTCTCACCTCCTCCCACTTTGTGCTGTCTGTCGCTGCCCATGTCAAACCAATGGTGCCATGGTGGCCCATCTGCTTGGAGAAGGGTCTCCCTGTGCCTTGTAAAAGGGAGAGGCGAGAGGATGGCATTGATCAGGAATGAAATGCCCCAGGTCCACAAACCAAGCAACCTCTTCTCATGAGAACAAAGAGGCCTCATCTTTGCCCTGTGTCGCCTTTAGGGTCCTCCTCTCTTGAGGTGCCAGAATTATCCTTGAGTTTGTCCATTCTGACTTTTCTCAAACTGCAGCCTATGAATGGGAACTTGGGCACAAGCTTCTCCTCAAATAACATCTTCCCCCACTTGATGTCACATGGCACATAGTTCACTGAAGACAGGAAGCAGCTCACACTAAACAGTAGGCCCTACCTTCTGTAACCCACTGTTTTCCAAGCCCATCTCCACAAAACCCTTATCCACACACCACACACTAACACCTTGTGGTCCATCCTGCGAGCTCCCACACGGCACATGCACCTTTCATGCGGCCCCACTAACCTCACTTCACTTTAGTTTCCATCCGATGCTCTCCCCTCCCACCTCACCTGGAAGTTCCCTGAAGGCTGAGAATGGGCCTCTTCCCTTCCTGGTACATGGGGCCTCTCCCCCTCAGTGCTGCTGGCATTTGAACTGGAGGACTCTTCGCTGCAAAGGGGAAGCTGTGAACTGTGGGGTATTTCACAGCATCTCTAGCCGCTGCCCTATAGAAGCCACAGCACCCCACTGTGACAATCAAACATGTCTCCAGACATTGCCAGGTGCCCCAATGCAGTCCCATCCCAAAGGCCCATGGGCCTCAGGTAACCATGTGTCTGCCGCTGACCTTCCCACAAGTTAACTCAAGTTAAACTTGGCACTTGCTTCCCACAGGGCAGCTGCTGCCAGCAGGAGACCGCCTCTCTTTTCTGCAGGTTGAGCTCACCTGTCCCCATCTCTCCCCGCCCCCAGGAAAATATGCAAGTCCTGCAAATGCAGCCAAGAGGACCACTGCCTGAGCTCCGACCTGGAAGACGACCGGAAGATCGGCCGCTTGCTGATGGACTCCAAGTACTCCACCCTCACGGCCCGCATCAAAGGCGGGGACGGCATCCGGATTTACAAGAGGAACCGGATGATCATGACCAACCCCATTGCCACCGGAAAAGATCCCACCTTTGACACCATCACCTACGAGTGGGCTCCCCCCGGAGTCACCCAGAAACTGGTAAGACAGTTTCCTCCAACTAAGTGGTTATCTTCTTGCCCTCGTAAATAAATGTTACCCAAGCCACAGATTCCCACCTTTCAAGAGGGCAAGGTTACAGGAGTAGTAGAAGTGGTTGTGGTTTCATTTCATAGTTTTTTGTGCTGCGTGGCCCTGGCCTTTCCTTCCCCCTCTCTCCCATCCCCAGGACCCAGCCAACTAGAAGATTTCTGTTCATTTATTTATTTATTTTCCTAAAAAGGCCAAATTGGTGGTTATCTCTGAACATATCAATATTCAGATGGTTACCATTCGTACCCATGTGGAAATGTTACTGACTTCAGACCTTATTGATTCTACTATTGGAAGGTGTCTTTGCAGGTTTTTAAATTAATAAACCATGAAAACCCTTACATCCATAAAGATTTCATATATTTTTTCCAAGGAAAGCAATTTTAAACTGGATTGACTTTTTTAAAATCAGCCATCAACGTGAGGTTAGTAAAGTAAAAATATTCCCTTCTGAAGGAAACAAAACCCATGTCCCAAAGCCAGCAAATCTAAAATGAGCACCTGCTTATGTCACACCGTTCTCATCACGAAAGTGGCCACTGGGTGTCACCACCCCTTCCCTGGGGATCCTCGGGTTCGGCCAAGCCCTGGAGAAGCTGGGGAAGGTTCCCCGGTTCTCGGGTCTGTGCTGGGGCCGCAGAGTCACCGTGGGTTTCTCCCCCCGTTCTCCCAGGGCCTGCAGTACATGGAGCTCATCCCGAAGGAGAAGCAGCCGGTGACGGGCACGGAGGGCGCCTACTACCGCCGCCGCCAGCTCATGCACCAGCTCCCCATCTACGACCAGGACCCCTCTCGCTGCCGCGGACTTTCGGAGAACGAGCTGAAAGTCATGGAGGAATTTGTCAAGCAGTATAAGAGCGAGGCCCTCGGCGTGGGAGAGGTGGCACTCCCCGGGCAGGGCGGCTTGCCCAAGGAGGAGGGCAAGCAGCAGGAGAAGCCGGAGGGCACAGAGCCCTCCGCCCCAACCACCAACGGCAGCATCAGTGACCCGACCAAAGAATACGTAAGTCTCTCCCAGGCCTCGGGGCTGCTGCAGCCGCCGGGCAGGCCTCCTCTCTCATCCAGGCACTCGTCCATGCAGGCAGGCCTCTGGCGGCTATTGGTGCTCGTTTTCTCTGTGCCTGGCACTGTCCCGTGGACAGTAACACAAGGACACTGCCTCCAGAGTCTCTGTCCAGTGGCAGTCACAGGCAACCAAACTGTGGCAGCTTTGGGAAAGGGCATCTACGCTTGCATGGGTGAAGGAGGGTGTGGGTCGGAGCCAAGGCCCACTCTGGGCTAGAGCTAGGAGCCACTCAGTCCCTAAAGAGGTGAGCATGTGCTGTGAAAAGCCCAGAGAGCAGAGTGAAAGCAGAAGATGAAAAGAAGTCCCATGTGATTAAAGGCAGGGTGATCTGGGGGAGGCAGACCAGGTCAGCGGGGATCACTTCCTGAAGAGTCATGACATTCATCCACCCATCCATCCATCCATCCATCCATCCATCCATCCATCCATCCACCTATCTATCCATCCATTCACCCATCCATCCACCCACTCACCCATTCATCCATCCATCCATTTATCCATCCACCCACCCACCCACCCATTCATCCTCTCAGTTATCCATCCATCCATCCATCCATCCATCCATCCATCCATCCATCTGTCCATCCATTCATCCACACATCCATCCATCCATCCATCCACCCACCCACCCATCCATCCATCCACCCACCCACCCATCCATCCATCCACCCACCCACCCATTCATCCATCCATCCATCCATCCATCCATCCATCCATCCACCCACCCACCCATCCATCCATCCACCCACCCACCCATCCATCCATCCACCCACCCACCCATTCATCCATCCATCCATCCATCCATCCATGCCTAAGTACTGATCAGCCTGTGCTGTTTGCTAAGCGTAGGAATTCAAATAAGCCAGATACTCTCCCAACGTGGGAGAAAGCCACCCCTGAGGCTTCACTCCAAGGGCCATGGGAGCTGTGGCAGGCTCCCCAGGAGGTATGGTGGGATCGGAGCCAGAGTGAGGGTGATGCGCTGGGGGTAATCCCCTGGAGGTTGTGTGGGAACACACAGAGGAGCCGGGTCTGGGTGGTGGAAGCCTCAGGGATGGGTTTGCCTCATTCTGTGCCCCAGGAAGTGAAGGGACCAGCTTGAGACTGTCATTGCTGAGTTCCGAGGCTGCCAGCCCCCTTCCACCTTTTGCACCATCCCCATCCCCCACACCCCTCAGCAGTCAGGTGGCCTCAGGCTTCTATTTGACAATTGGAGACAGAAGTACATGGTACTCAAAGAAACTACCTGGCTTTCTGGGAAGAGGCTGTGGTCACTGTGTGAGCCAGACACCCGGGGCAATGCCAGCCCAAATGGCTCTGTCCTCGCTGCTGCATTGACTCTGCTGCATTGACGCAGACTTGTTATCTCAAACTGAGGCCTGCATCTCCCACCCGCGTGCTGTTGGCGCATCCCTCTAGGATTACCATCTAAGAAACTGTGTTTATCTGAGAATTAAGACAACGAACAAAACTTTCTCTACCACAGTTTTGGGGGTGATGTTGAAAAGACCCATTTCTCAGGAAGACAACATGTCTCAGGAACTTTAAAATTAGATCCTGTTTTATAAACAAATCTCCTCCCTGACTCTGCCTTCTTTCCACCCTCAACTAGCTATTTATCCTTAAGGATTAATTCTGTGTAATTCCAAGTTGGATGGCGACTTCGTTGGGACATTTCCCAGTTGCCATTCCCGAGAGACAGATGTTGATCTAAGAACGTATTTTCTCTTTGACTCAGCCCCACATTTTGTTCAGGGTGGAAGTAGGACAAAGGTGGCTTGGGATCCCTGATCCCTGCCCACAGTCAACTGTAGGAAACACTTCTGACACTTAGGAAGCATGTAAACAAGACCAGACAGTAAGTGGCAGATTCCAGTCGGAAAATAAAGCAGGGACTCCAAAGGAAGCCACTTGTGACTGGCCTGGGCGTTGTCCTTCCCTCCCCTGCCCCCAGTCTTAATGCAATAGCCAATTATGTGATCAGTGGCTTCAGGTCTGTCACCAGCGCTAGAGGCTGAGGTCTTATCTTGTTCATCTCTGTGCCTGCAGCAGTGCCTTCGACAGAGGCAGTAGGTGCTCAGTAAATAGGTGATCCATGGATGAGTGAACAAATGCATGAATGAATGAATGTTCAAATTAAGTTGAGCCTGGAAAGATGGGACAGTCTGAATGGCCATGTTGCTTAGGGGGAGGAGGATATTTCAAGGTCACAGTTATAAGCACCTGGTTCGATCCAAATGCGATGCTCACTCTTTCGGGGTCTTTGTTTAATCCGAACAGTGGCCTGGCGGGGTGCATTGCACCAACCCCACTTACAGGTGAGAAGTCAGAGATTCAGAGAGGATTGGTAATTTTTCCAAGGTCCTCTGGCTTCTAGGTAGAAAAACATGGATCTGAAAGTCTTTCTGGAGATATGAAACCTGCTTGTTATCTGTTCCGGGAAGAAAGGAGGCTGCTGCTCTTCTCTAACTCCCTCTGTATCTCCTTGAAGCCACTGAGCAAGTCCTATCCAGGCAGCCAGGCAGCCTGCCAGGCCATAGACCGGTTTGGTATGGACATAGGCTGCACTCCCTGAGCGGTTCCACTTTACCCCGGGGGCCATCCTAGGTGCTGTGCCCTTGTTTCTCATAACAGGACACTGTGGGCAGGTGCCCAAGGCAAGAATCAGGTGCAAGGTCTGATTTCTGCTCCCCTGATGAGGGCAATGAACTTGACTTAAAGTGGTCAAGGCATTCAACTTCACCTGGGAGTGAGGAGGAGATTGTAGGACTTGGTCTGATACTCCAAATCCAGAATTTTATGGAGAAAACGGAGGCCCAAAGAGGGGCATGTGAAACTATTATACTAGAGCTGTATTGGTAACATCGTCGCTTACCATCCTAATCGTGGCCATTATTATCGCTGCTAATAGCTACGGTTTAGTGGGCATTGCTGTGAGGCAAGGGAGGGCGTGCTGAGCTCTGCTGTGTCTGAAACTCCCACACCTGCGGGTTGAAACCAACTGACAGACTCCAGTCCATCCTTCCTGCTTCCAAACGCCAATTCCTCAGAAAGCTAATATAAGGATCAGTAGCCGGGCAAGGTTGGGAGACCTAAGAGTGAATAAAAATGAAGGACTTTTCAAGGCTAAAGCAGTGGTTCTCAAACTAAAGTCGCTAGAAGGCTTGTTCACATTCGGAGGGCTGGGTGCCGCCAGCACTTCCTGCTTAGTAGGTACAGGTGGGACCTGAAACTGCATGTGTAATGAGCCCTCGGGGCGATGCTGATGCTGGTCTGGGAGCCGCACTTGGAAAACCACTGCTAACGAGTGTGATAAATGACCTCACGTATCAGCTGAGCAGAAGTGGGATCAGCAGTGGGTCTGGGTGAGGGTCCAGGAGATGATAACCCAGGCATTCCCCAGGTTTACATGGCCTCCTGGCTTAGAGAAGGCTACACGTCAGTCTCATGTTTTCTGAGCTATCCGTGGGGAGTTCTGGAAACACGGGCACAGCATTTAACACAATGCTTTACACCCAACCCTGCACGCAGCAATCAGGGGCCACCAACCAGCCCCCACTTTTCCTGTGCTGCGCCCCGTGGTACTGGAGGCCGGTTCTCCTGGGAGCTCACCTGGCTCCATCCTGGTGCAGCTCAGCCTGTCACAGTCATGACCTTCCTCGGGCACCTTGGGTGGGGCTCAGGCTCTGAGCAATGTCAGCTGCCCAGCCTCCTCCACAGCCCCTCCGCAGTGTCCTCAGAGGAAAGGGTCAGCCAGACCAGGGGAGCCTCGCTGCCAAAGACTTTCCCAGCTCGCCCTGTGGAATCCCCCCATTGGGCTGGGTTCCGAGTGAAGCCAGGTAACGGGGGGCCAGCCTAAAGGGCCCTCCAGGCTGTGGGGACAGTGCCATCTGAGCCTGACCCATCCTATTGGCCAGAGCTGCCCAGTCGTTCGGATCTGAGCAGAGTTCGCAAATCTGCACCCCCAGCTTTCAACCCCGAGGACTTCGGGCAACCTCAAGTCAGCCGTGGTGCATCTGAGGTGACCCAAGGGCGGCGGCTGCCCATGCGGACCACAGAGCCGTGCTCTAAACGTGCTACTGCGATACGGAGGTTAGGAAAGGCAGAAGCCACAGGTGAGGCCTTGAGAATCCCTCTTCCTGGAGACACACCATGGCAGAAATATCCCGGACACTAACTCACCCCCTTGTCCCCCCCTAAGTCATGCCCTTTTGATCAGCGAGGCCAATTAAAACCCCAAATTATTTAGCCTCCCTCTCTTGTCCTCCTTTGCCCACTATGTGCTTGTGGATGGATGGAAACTCTTTATTGCACAGCAGGCCCATTCATCTCTTTGAATCGCCCTATAACAACCAGCAAGTGATGTTACAGCCATTTCACAGGTGTGGAGCCTGGGTCACAAAGAGCTTAACCCCGTGGTCGGCAAACCATGGCTCGCAAGCCGCATGCGCTCTTTGGCCCCTTGAGTGCGGCTCTTCCACAAAATACCACGTACGGGCAAGCACATACAGTGCGATTGGAACTGCGAGGCCCATGCACAGAAGTTGGTTTCTGGCTCTCAAAAGAAATTCCAATCATTGTGCTGTTGATATTTGGCTCTGTTGACTAATGAGTTTGCCGACCACTGGCTTAACTGATTTACGGATGAGAGGTGTGGCTGGGATTGCATCGGACCAGTGGATTCTAAAACTCCTAGGGGTGAGTGAGAACTCCTGAGTGGGACCCAGCATGTGGGTACACCAAGGCAAGGGGTGTGTATTTAGGTTTCCTGGGTAAACAGCAGTGTTTGGAGTAACTCAGAGCCCAGCCCAGTGGATAATTTGGGGACCTCTTGTCTGGGTGCCAAGAACAAGGGAAGGACTTGCCTGCCCCACCCCAGTCTCACCCACCGTGGGTCTTGGGGCTTGAAAGGGTTCCGTGGCCAGGACCGGGCGCCT